TTGTTAGTGCCATACAATAAGGAAAGGAAAATGAATGTGTGGGTTGTTTTTAAACCATTGATGGGCATCTTTTGAATTTTCATAAATTGCATATTAATCAAATTTTGGTTTTGGGGTTGTTTTGCTGCATTGCACGTGCTATTATTTTTTGTCCATATTTTATCAAGGAAAAGGCTAGGCCTTATAAAAAAAAAGTGAACCCCTTTTTAAATCTCATAAAAAATTATAGTTTTGGCATTGAAAATGACCATCTCGACCTTGACGGTAATGAAGGTGAGAAAAGAAAAGATTTTAAGCCATAAAAATAATGTGTACTGTAATGCTTTTTATAGACTATCTATTTTCAAGTGTTTATAGATCCGCGAAATCTATATCATTTTTTGAGTTACAATTTCACTATTAGTAATGGAAATAGACTTTAGAGCTATCGTTTTCTAGATGGCGTCTTGAGGTGAGGCTACACTTCTTTTCTATAAAGCCTAGGCCTTATAGAAACCATGTCTTTTTTATTATTACTATTCCAGTTACATGTTTTTAGGAGATACTACATTTCAAGGAAAGTTTTTTATGGATTTAGGATGTAAAACACATTTAAATCATGATTAATTTATAGAGATCTGATGATTCCGCTAAAAATATAGAGATCTATGATTTGTGAAGAAGTAAATGGGTTGTTAGAGGAGCACTAATGGTTCTAAAATTTTTCATGAATATATCAAAGTTTATGTTCAAGAATATCATTAGTGCCATACAAAAATGAGAAATCCATAAGAACATTGCCAAAAAATGATTAATTAATTTTCTCAAATCTCTTTCCCCCCCCCCCCCATAGTAACCCATTTATTTATTAGTTAAGCATGATTAGTGCACCTACAGCAACCCATTTATTTATGGGTAATCAACTTTAGTGTGTGAACACCCTCATATGAGATACATGCAACTTTTGTCACAATTTTTTAATATGCTAATAGCCCATATGTGTCATATGCATCTTTTGTTACATTTTTATAATGTACCACCGGGTCATGGTTCATAAAATAGTTTTTCATGTATTGATTCATGAAAAAGTATCCCATACAAGCACCATCTAATGCCAAAAAGTTAACTTGCGTTTTCTATTTTATTTAAATATTATATTTATCTAAAATTTAGGATAGAGGTTCATTTTTATAAAGGGAGATAAATAAAAATAACCAAAATACCTTTAAATATATTTTGGTCCACATTTTTTGTTTCAAATATATTTTATTATTTTTATTTAATTTTTCTTATAAAAATAGTTGTAAACTCAAATTTTAGATAAATAAAATTTTTAAATTTAAATAAAAAATCAATTCATGTCAGATAAATATTACTTTTAAAGTAAAATAAAAATAAAAAACAAAATTAATTTATGGCCCTTGGATGAGGCTATAATTAATAGGTGCTTGTGCACCTTTATAACCATGCGTCTTCCTTTCATTCCACCCGTCCATTCAAAACTTTTTTAAGTTATTCATATTCAAGTCACCCAAAAAGGAAAATAGAAAAAGAAAAGGAAAAACAAACTACATATAGGGGGTTCTCTATAACAGGGTTTCACCACATGTGATGTTTCAGTTTTAAGAAAAATCATACACAATTAAATCATTTAATGCATTTCAAACTCCTGTTTTTACAACAAATTACCGGAAGTTATACAATGCATCAATATTATATTATGAAAGTGAGATACACCTCAAAAAACCAAATTATCAGTTTTTTTTGAAAAGATCGTTGCGCATGGGTACCTATCAACTTTTTAATTGCGAAACATATAATTCATTGTTTTGGGTTTGGAATCTAGAACAAGTGATGACATTTTAATGTTTTGAATCAATTTAATTGGTTGGAGCAAAATGATATAAGTACCGCTTGTTTTATGTCTTGAGCAATAGATTTCATTAAAAACATATGATATAGGTTTGGAAACTTGAATAAGTGGGGATAGTTTTATCATTTGGCTTAGGCCACTTAAGTTTATCTAAATGACCAAAATACCCCTTTTAAATCTGATTTCCAAACCCAGAACAAGGTTATCAATTCAGCTGAAGTCTTCATATTTTTCACAAAAATGAAAGTGAAACAAAACATAAAGGGAAAAGTTTATATAGAGCGGAGACTCTAAACAATCAAAATTAGAGCCTACTTCATAAATTTCACTGGAAAAGGTTTTTTTTTTATGCCCAAATATCATCAAATTGATCATCTGGACATCAATATGCATAGACATGAGAGAAAAATAGATTTCAAGCTTTGAAAATGGTGTATTTTGTAGCACATGTTTGGACCGTTAGTTTTCAAGATTTTCAAGTTTTCATATATTTGTCTATCGACACTATTTTTGAAGCTTTAAACTTTACAAATAAAGATGAAAATATATTTCAAAGCTATCACAAATATTTGTAGTATTGAAACTGCATTTTTTTAAACTATTCGAATGTTGGCTCTAATTTGATTGTTTAGAGCCTAGGCTCTATACAAACCGCACCTAATCATAAAACCTTTTCTTCCTTTGTGATTTTGGTTTCTTCGAAGTCCTCATTCCTCTTTAGCAAAATCTCATAAACAGTATGATTGATATTATAAATTTTTAAACCCCAAAAAAAGGTCAAACTCAAGTAGATCTATAAACATATGAAAATTGGACGGTCCAGATAATATATTGCAAGATGTACTGTTTCTGAGATTCAAAATCTTTTTTCTTTCATATTCATACATCGTGACGGGTCAATTAGAGGGTTTTTCAACATTAAAACAACCTTTTTCGATGGATTTTTGAGGTGCATCTGTAATTATACATTTTAAGATTGCAATCTTATATAAACTTTTTTTATTTTTTAATGACCTAGTTTTCATGCGGACCTAATAATCTAAAAGTGGTGTAGATCCTAGAATTTACATCGTCTAACGTAGATCCTAAAATCTACATCGTCCAATGTAATTGGATGGTATAAATTGGACCCAAAAATCATGACAAGGGATTTTCAGGTGCAATTTGCACTAATGTCATGGTCCACGTAATAACATATGTGATTTGTTGGGAGCAATTTTAAGTGAAAGGTAAAGGAGAAAATATTGCCCCAAAGAGCATGAAAAGGGCCTATTTCTTAAAAGGCAAAAGAAACAGATTCCAATTATTCTTTTATCATTGTGCTAGGTTTTGTTATTTTATTCTTTTCCCACAATAAATATTAAGTTCTTGAAAAGAATTTGAAGCACTCCCCCAAATCAATAGATGCACTGATGTACTTCCTTTTCACAACCAAACTGACCCGAAGTGAATTTGATAACATTGGTGAATTAACCGAGTAACATGATCCTTTTAAACTAACCATATCATTGATATAAATTTGTAGGAAAATTATCAAAGTACACTTGTGAGATCAACTATTTAACAATATACTTATATTGTTTGATTTAATTTGAAAATACCTATAAAAAAACGCGTGATCATAAATTGGAATCGTGTCAAAATTATAAAATAGGATCCTTTAAATACTACGAAACAACTATTTTACCCTCCCTACTACATTTTGAAAAATGGACAAAAGTTGGGCAAAAAAAAATTAAAATTAAAATATGATGGGAGAAGTATAACCAAAAGTAATGTTGGTAGGCCTCAAGACTATTTTTAAAAGGCGTCTTTTTATCTGTCCTTTAATGGATAAAGTATGCGATACAAAGGCAGTTTATGCACTAAGGACTTTTATGATTTTTTTCCTTTTTTTTTTTTTTGTTTTTTCAAAAAAGACCCCTTCAATTTACTAGTTTACCATACTTATTAAAGGCAACCATTTTTAAGTAGGAGAATATTTGACTGAGGTCAGTTTTTAGCTCTCCACATTTCAAAAAGCTTTTGGCATGCTAATTATGTTGACCATAATTAAAGAATTGTTTACATTTTTCTAATAATAGTCAGGAAGAAAAGTAGGATTAATGTCATTAACAGGCGGCTTGGGATTTTTTTTCTCCACTCAAAGTCTGAAATTTTGACCAGCTTTTAGCATAGGATAAACCGTTACTATTTACATCGGAGGTTTTTGGGTTGTTTATATCCACGAGCATATAGTATTAACACGAAGAACAAGACAAAAAAAAAAACATTTTTTAAAATTATTTAGTTTGGATTTTCCCTTAGCCTGGTACAACCCCAATTGCCCGATTTTACATTCCAAGGCTAGAGATAATAGTGACCCTTTACACCAAAGTTAATAGTTTCAAGGTTTGTAGCTTGTGCTCCACTAGGTGCATATTGTATATTAACTCCCTTGGGCTAAAGAGCTACTTTGGTGGATTTTTAACCTGAGATTTTGGGGTCTAAAAACCACTAGATGATTATTTAAAAAAATAAAAAAAGAAAGACAAAAAAGATCTTTAAGTTTTTCAAAACTTAGATCTCGCCCACCAAAAATTGAAAGGTCACCGTTCAATCTTGGGATGTTGTTTTTGTTCAAGTACTCATAGTGTGTGATTTGGAATTTTCCTTTTCGAGGTTCGTCGTGAAGTTCAAGAGGTTACATCCCCAAAATTTGAGAGCCTTAAAATACCTAGGTTTTGCCTGAGGGAGCAAATCGACAGTATGCTCCCATTGACGCATATTCTATTCACAATAGTTTCATTGCATAGCTTTCCAAATTATAATGAGATTCATCTAACAAATTTGCAACTTCTGTGGGTCATTTTCTAGCTGACATGAGGCTACAATGCTTGTTGGGCATGAGGCAAACAAACTATTCTTTATATATGCATAAGGAACAAGGCCCTTTATGCAAGTGCATAGGTCTAGGGGAATCCATCCTTTTAGATGATATAAAGCGGCCCCCACAAGGGCAAAAGAAGAGGGAAAAAAAAATAACCATAGTTTTTTAAGCTTTTGGAACCCATTAGCTCGACAAGAAAAAGCTGATGATTTATGCATTTATTGATACTGTAATTGCACCTCTATGAATGTGCCTATATATAGTGACATTTACATTGATTTGTAGCAGCATTCTATCTCAAACGACGGCTATTTTTCGCATCCAAGTGGCTAGAAGCTAGAGAGAGAGAGAGAGAGAGAGGGAGAGAGATGAGTGTTGATCAAAAGCATGGAGAAACGAGTGTTGAGCAAAGAGATGAGGAAGAAGAAGAAGTGAGTGGTGATGGAGAGGGTAAAGAGAAAAGAAGAGAGAGGATTAGGGTTAAGAGCTCCATAGCTGGTCTCTTTAGATATGCAGAGTGGGTTGATATAGTGCTCATGGTTTTGGGCACAGCTGGTGCAATTGGTGATGGCATGTCAACTAACTGCCTCTTGATCTTTGCAAGCCAAATAATGAACAGTTTGGGACGTGGGGATTCTGAGCAAAGTCATGGAGGTTTTATGGATAGAGTTGAAGAGGTAAAATCCACACTCTTATTTTTAATTTTCGACGTTTGGGATTTGGGTTCATATACTGTCAGTGCAGTGAATGTACTGTAGGAAAATAGACATATAAACTCGGCCGTTGGATGAGAACAGCGGATGGATGGGTGTGTCGTTCCTCTGCAAAAAGTATGTGATTTTAAGCGGAGGAATGGCACACTGTAGTCATCCCTTGTTGACGACTGATGGTTGGGGATGATTGGTTTTTGGGATGTCTCCCCTCTCTACGTATATATGTATGGGGCTTTTTATCGGGATCGTATATTATACGATCATATATTTTTTATATAAAGATGTGACAAATCACGTTTAATTATTGAATGTGAAATTCGATAAAGTGAACTATGTCGTAACTTTATTTCGGACTTTATGTCCAATAATTGCCATTAGACTTTGTGCTCAATAGATGACATTTATTCATCTAAATTTCACTGTAACTCCTTTGTACCCCACAATAAAAGGTCTTATTGTATGCATTTCTTTTTTCTATAGTGTACAAGGAGTCCTCAGAGTCCACATGGGGAATAATAGTAAACAAAAGGCCAAAATTATGTTAGAACCACTATTTGACCGTGATGCTCCGAAAATTGCCAAATATTACCACTAGGTCCCACAACCACACGTCTTTTTTTTTTTTTTTTTTTTCTTGTTTTGCTTTTTTTTTTTTTTCAGTTTTTTTCTACTCTGATGTTTCCAAGATCAAACAAATGAAAAATTACAAATGTAGAATGTCGTATTTTCGACCCGAACACATTTTATGAGATCACTGAAGTTTCCTACAGTGCTTTGACACCCACCAGCCATCCGTTGTCAATAGCTGGGGCATGATCTTCCTGTCTTACACCTTTCGATGGACTTAGAATAGAGAAAATTTTGGCTTTATGGGATGACAAGGACATTGTACCCCAGCCGTCGACAGTTCAAATCAGACGGTTGAAAACTTGAAACCCATTTTATTTGTTTTCTAGGCAAGGGTTTTACCAGATTACATAGCATACATGGATAATTTACCATAATCAGGTCCAAATCAAAACCATTGGAGGAAGATTGAGGATATTATTTCCGCTCTCTCTCTCTCTCTCTAACCCCAAGAGATATAAAAGCTTACTCAGCTAGCAAACACAAGACGTTCAATGTGAAAGGCGCATAGTCAGTTTCCAACAATGAATCCACCCCTCTCTCTGTATAAGCAAGCATGCATCAGTAAATCACGCATCTCTATCTCATCTTGCCTCTCTCCCAGCCATCCCTCTCTCTCTATGCCCCCTTTGCCTCTCTCAAAAATCTGAAGCACGCCTTCTCTCTCTCATGGGTAGCAGACATCTCTTTGTGAAATCTAAATCACGTGTT